TGAATTATGTATGTATATATATATATATATATTAACATACTATATACATTGTTAACATATGTATATTGAAACGGACTTGACTCGGCCTTCACTTGAACCAGTACACTTGGAAATGTCTTCCTCTATTTTGGACGACCTCTGAACTTACAAGAACTTAACACTAGAAAGGGGGTTTTCAGTGAAGTGTTTTCGATGCCTAAGTCAGTGAAAGGATGAGACGATGAACATTAATTTCGTATATAAAGAGTGTGTAGAGAATGTAAACCAAAAATTAACCCACAGTATTACAGGCTGTCAGGCTTTGTCAGGTAGCAGATGACCCATTTTCGTGTGCCACGTGGTCCAATCAGCGTATGACGTTATCCCCGAGTTAGATGTCTTTTTGTCTTGCCATAAGACCAAGTCCACGTCATCAGGTAGAACGTTCATTAGGTAGAACGCCTTCTTCTCTAGAACCTCTATTGACCAATAGGTCGAATCGACCTCTTGGTCCATCAGGTGAACAAGCTCAATGTGTGCTCGTCTCACGGTTGAGTCTTCCATTCAAAAGGTCACCATCGCACTAGTTATTGCTTTCAGATCAATTTTTGCTCACGACTCGAGCTGACTTGTTAATTTGATCTAGTTGCTTGGTTTGTTTGGTTTGGTTGACTGGGTATAGTTACTATCAATAAACATTATATAAATTAGATATATATATATATTATGCATATCAAATTATAAATTCAATCAAGGGAATAACTTTATAAATAATTTTATTTAAAACGCATATAAATATTTTAAAGTAATTTATCAGTATTCTATTAAAACATTGGTAATAAATTCATACTATGTGGGTGTTACGAAAATGTTATAAAAGTTGACGTAAAAGAGAATGACACAAGAATATTTTTTTTAGTTTGAGAATGAGGATGTGACTCTTATTGGTGAATAACAAGTTTTTCGATTGGAAATAACTGAAAGACATGATTTTCTTGTGCACATTAATAGTAACGAATATTGATGTGTACTTTTCTAATAGAACCATATTGCACCACACGAGAATTGAATCAAAAAATTTCTTTACAACAAGTATTGAATCGTACCAAACTGAATTGCACGATTTGATTCGATTTTCCTATGAATTTGAGTTAGATTGGTCTAAAATTAGTTACAACAACAAAAAATAAAAGAACTTGTCAAAAGAAAT